CTGAACACATACTAAAGAACCTAAGACTAAAAAGGCTCACAGACAGGCATTAAACAGTGCGACTACGCACCATCTATTAGACACTGATCATATTGCGGACAATCTAAAGGTATTCAGAATAATCAACATGCAAAATAAACCACCTAGATTGTAACCCTGTTGCTGAGGCAATCGCCATCAAACGATTAAAATCAAAACTATATATACAGAAAGAGACAGTGGTGAATCTTACAATGTCTTGGTGATCATAACAAAGTACACAAGTTTTATTTCGTCATCTTTTGTCCTGTTTAGAAACCTTTATTTTTTGTACAAACATGACTCACCCCTAACCCCTCCTTTTTGACTACTTTCTTTTCTGTGGTTACGTAACCTGTTGTTTGTTTTACACTTTCTAGTTAAACTTTGTCTCTACGCATAAAAATCCTTTGAACTCTGTCCTTTTGTTTTCAAGCGTAGTCGTTTATTTTTCCTACAAAATGGTCGATCCTTTACACTCTTAATTATTTAACTACATACATTATTCTGGACTAATGTTACTCTTAGTTCCTACGAATTACTCCGTGTTATCGTGGAAAACGTATGTTGAAATCTTTAATTTAAGATACACATTAATTTTTTGGATTGTTCAGGTTGTAGCCAGTTGAGAGGAATCCTCGAAATAATAAAAAAATGAGCTACTGTTATTCCTCTACTTTTGTCGTTCTTACTTAGTTCAAGTTTATTAATGGGAAGAATTGTCCACTCCTTGTGATTTATAATATCCATTAAAATTCTATTGGCTAGAGAACCATTGGAAAACCGCCACTAGAGTACTGGACAGCTGTTACTCCCAATTCCCGGACTCTTCATCAGTACGCACCCACCGCCGGGGTTCGGACCCATGACCTTCTGGTTACCAGGAAAGCTTGTAGACCATTAAGCCACTGGGACTCGATCTAATGGCCGGTACATGAATTCTAACTTCTGACAATTCATGACATAGCCCGACCACTTCGCAATGTCTTCTTCGATCAGTTACTGCCTCACCTTCACTAGCTGACTAGCGACTGGACCTATTCAGACAGCTAACCTGGGGTTCTAGTGGAAACCATGACCAGTAGGGTGCAGCAGGTCGGGTGTGAGGACAAATACTCCCGCATGGCATCTCCTAGTGATCGCACCACATCATGAATTGGCAGAAGTAGGAATTCATGGGCCAGCCATTGGATAAAGTCCCAGTGACTTAATGGTGTACAAGCTCTCCTTGTAACCAGAAGGTCCTGGGTTCGAACCCTGACAGTGGGTGCGCACTACTGAAGAGTCCCAAACCAAGACGGAGGAAACATCTGTCCAGTACTCCCAGCTGGTTTTCCAATAGCTCACGATGATATCCTCCAACTAGTCAAAAACAAAATTCCCTACAAAACCAATACTTGGAAATGCTATTGTTCTTCCATATTACTATTCTTTTTGCCTCACTCACATTTCTATTTATTATCTCTCTTTACTCTCTTTGCTTGCTTCGTGTGCTACAACATGGAGGGAGTGTGGCAACTCGAACTGCTGCACACCTGTGCAAAGTTCTACGGTGAAACCGGTCAGTCAGTCAGTTAGTCAGCGAAATGTTTAAATCATGTACAGAATTTTCGTGCTGAAATTATTGGCATAACAGTTTCTCTTTGTCCAGGATTTTCAAACGAAAAAAATAGGTAACTGACAGACCGTAATATTAATGTGTAAGTGTAGAACAACACTTGGGCATTGTGGTAGAATGTAATTCCTCCGTCTGAAATAAACTTATCTAATATGGAATAACTGACAGTAAATCCACCCAAGATTTTTGCTTTTTCTCAAATTTATTTAGTAGAAATTTTCGAATCAGCCGGTCGCAGACATTGCAGCTACTCATGAGAGTAGAAAACACTATTAGAGGTCATATTTTAATAGACTAAGCCAAAACGGAACAAGAGAAATTTATAGGCAATATAATGATGGAGTACTTTGGTAGCCTAGGTTTCAAACAGGCCGCCATGCAGATCAACTTATATGAAAAACAAAGAGGTCAATTAAAACAAACAAAATGATGATAAGAAACTCAAGAATAATGATAATAAGTATAATTAATACTACAATTGGTCGTATTTATAAACAGATAGGGATTACCAAGGTAGGTTAAGCGTAAAAGTAACATTAATACACACAGGAGGAGGGATTAAGTTTACCAATAGCTACCTCCTCTACGTATGGAGAGTCCATTAAGACCTACCTTCGCCAGCTGATGTGTATATGTCTTCCATTGAAAACCTGACAATATAGCGAAACATATCAAATTGGCAAACAAAGCAGACATCATGTAGTCACTACATATCAAGTCTTCACCTGCCTACATAGTCAGCTCAAACTCAATGTCAAAAATTTCACGGACTGATGAAGTTATGTTTTGGTTTGACCACACCACCCTAGCTCTTTTCCAACTTGATCACCTATGTCAGCTAACATTTCCTGTCGATGAAGGCGATGGCCAGACCTTGCGTAACACAATGTGTCCTAGCCATCTCAATCAATATGGCTACTCCACAACCTGGTCGACTGACTTTCCCGCATTATAATAACACTTGACGCCTAACCTCAGGATTACTTACATCCTACATCTCTGCACATCAAAAGCTCCAAACCCACATATGTGCATCCAGGAAAGTAGAAATAAGGCCAGTCGAAATTTGTTTTCTTTGTTATTTCCAACTGCTTACGAATGCATACAATTCAGTAAGTGATCCCAACTTCCATAAAGCCAACTGTACAACTAACTCAAATGTTTCAGAAACATTTTACTTCACATGAAGATAAAAATTAACTATTTTTGATTGGATACTTGTCAGTAACTAGTATAATGTGTGTGTGTGTGTGTCTGTTCGTATCTTCGGTGCAGACTGAATTCTATCAGTCAAGTTTGCAATGTAGCCACCATTCTAGGTAGGTTGCCATCACGGTACGGCTTGAATTGTTGATATTAGATGGTTGGAAGCAATCGGCCGCAGGAAGCCTTGGATCTAGGTCTCGTGCTAGTTGGCACTCACCAGTCACCAAGGCGTATCTGCAACTATTTCGTGGACACTCATCAACTGCATACATCCTAAACAAAATCAAATTATAAGTTTCAAAAAAGTTTTGGAACATACTTTTTTCATAATTACTTGTTATCGAGTGCAATCGCCAGACATTTAATTGACATAGGACACACAGTAGAAATTAGCCAAGCCTTCAAAATAATCAATACGCAAAGAAACCCATGGCTACTTCGCTTCGCAGAAGCCATTGCTATCAAGAGACTTCGACCAGACCTCTGTATACAGAAAGATAGTGTGATTAATCTTTCACTACCCTGGTAACCCTAATTCTATTTTATTTTATTTTTGTTTTGCCTTCTTGTCAGTATGCCTATGTATTTATCTTTTTACGAAACATTCTATTCAATTTTGACTTTCACTTGCTAAGTTGAACTGACTATCAAGTTTCTAAATCCAGTTAATTGTCTGTTTAAGTTTAAAAAAATGTTACTTCACTATTCACCCCCATCCTCTTAAACTCTCCACCACAAGCTGTGTAAATTCACTCTATTCTCTGACCCTGACCCTGTATTATTCCTCTAATCAATCTGTGTTTTCCAAAAGAAATCTGCACTCTAACCCCTCTTATCTAATTCCACTATATATAGTTAGATCTCATCGCCTTTCTTATCTAAACTTCCTGTTTATTCATGTCATTTTAAGTTTTACTTAATCCCTGTCTACACTACCATATTTTCATATCCACACTTCCTGTTTATTTTGTCATTTTATTATTTCTACATATTTAATCCCTGATTGCATAAACAATTATTCATCACATTAGTTTTTTATTCAAACATCCTGTATATTTTGTTATTTCTACATTTCTAACCCCCAATTGCACAATGTCAATCTTCTTAGTTATTATAATGCTACTTTGTTTGAGTTTTATCCGTTCCCCTGTTTATTATGGCATACTAATTCCTAATTGTAATTTTTATTAATTTGACCCTTAACCGGCGCGTCATAAAGAGCATCTCAAACAAACTACAGACCTTCATTAACAGTTGTATTCGCTCATTACTCAAGATCAGATGGCCAGAAAAGATCAGCAACAGGGATCTCTGGGAGCGAACCAACACAGCAGGAACCAATTGTGAAACAAATAGGCAGGAAGAAATGGAGATGGATAGGCCATACTCTGAGGAAACCATCAAGTGACATCACTAGACAAGCCATTGCTCGAGTGGAACCCAAAAGGGAAGCGGCAAGTTGGTCGTCAGTGCAAGGGTGACTTGGAGGAGGTCATGTGAAGAGGAGATGAAAACGTGTGGGCAGACTTGGAGCCAGGTGAAGACTCTAGCAGAGAACCGAACGCAATGGAGACGTTTGGCTGAAGCCTTATGTTCCTCTAGGAATTAAAGGAAACAATAATAATTAACCGGAAATTATTCTGGAACTTTCCCATCCATTTGATATAAATACACGAATGTACAGCCTAGATGATGACTTCGTCGAAAAGAAAATTTTCTTCGCTGCAATTGTCTTTTTAATGTAGTTAGTTGTTTTTTGACACTGAATAATCTGTCCACCTATATCAAATTCTGGAATTATGTTCCTTATACCTTCTATCTATAACTCCAAGTAATTATGAAAAAAGTATGTTCCAAAACTTTTTCGAAACTTATAATTTGACTTTGTTTAGGATGTATGCAGTTGATGAGTATACACGAAATAAAACGAGCTCGTATTATCCTGAAAACATGTTCGTTCTTCCTCTCTTCAAACTAATAAAGGGAACCGCTTGTATGAAAGTATCTGCAACTAGTACGAAACTTAGATCCAAGACTTCCTGCCGATTGACTCCAACCACCTGATACCAACTTAACCACACTGAAAATTAACTCATTAGAACAGCTTGTATGATAATGCATAAAGCATGTTATAATAAAAAGAATGTACACAACTTACTTCAGGAATCTCATTAACAAAACTTGAATTCTCCTTAACCGACTGTTCTTCATACAATAATAATTCTTTTGGTTTTGTCAGTGGAACATACAAGCATGTAAATTGTTCTTGTCGAGAACTTGAAACATGCTGACATTCTACACAAGATGTATGCCTTAATAATGTCCCACCAAATAGACGTGCAACAACAGACGATGAAGCACTATCATCATCATAATTGCTGGAATATTTATCGTCTTCTTTTTTGGTAGATGTTTCATTTGATGATGAACACGTCTGATTGTTTATATTGTATGAAAAGGGAGGATTTTCCACTGTACAAGTATTGATTGAAGGTGTAGTGCTTTCATTAGGCATAAAACTGGATGAATCACTAAAGTAAATAATAATAATAATCATAATAATAATAATGATAACAATAATAATAATAATGGTAAATGAACTGTGAATATTATTATTATTATGGTTCCCTTGGGTTCCTAGTGGAACATAGGGCTTCAACTACACGTCTCCACTTGCTTCTGTCTTCCGCTGTACTTTTCACTTGCGTCATGTTATTCCATACTGTTTCATCTCCTCCTCACACGATCTCCTCCACGTCACCCTTGGACGTCCCAGTCGCCGCTTCCCTTTCGAGTTCCACTCGAGCAATGGCCTGACGCGCGATGTCACCCAACGGCCTCCTCAGCGAGTGTCCAATCCATCTCCACTTTCTCCTGCATATTTGTTGAGCGATTGGTTCTTGTTTTGTTCGTTCCCATGATTTCTTGTTGGTGATTCTTTCCGGCCGGCCATCTGATCTTCAGTACAGAACGAAGACAGTTGTTGATAAAGGTCTGAAACAGCCTGTTGGAAATATTCTTTGTGACCCACCAAGTTTCTGATCCATCCGTATAGAAGAACTGACTGACTTGACGTTTGTATTGAAAATCTGAATTTTGTTGTTGATGTTGAGTGACGAAGATTTCCAGATTGGTTTCAGGTTGATGAATGTGTTTCTCGCCTTCCCGATTCTCGATTTGACATCCTCGTCCGTTCCTCCTGTAGTTGAGGCAACGCTCCCTAGATAAGTGAATGAAGTAAGCTCTTTCAAATCCCTCTCGTTGATGGTGATTGGCGCTGGATGTTGCTGCTTCTGTTGTTGTTGGTTGGTCATTTTCATAACCTCCGTCTTGTCTATGTTCACCTGGAGTCCTGTCTTTACTGTTTCTTCGACCAGTTAGTCGAATATGATAAAAGCAAAAAGTTAAAATCTGCATAAGTTACTGTAGAAGTATTACTGAAACCAACACACACACACACCTAACTAGTGTAGATAATTCATCACAAGCATCATCATCAACATCGCAGCTACTTAGAATGTTGAATGCTGTTATAACGGAATGCTGCTGATTTGCAGTTGTCGTCTGACTAACTGACTGACTGACTGGTTTCAACATAGAACTTTGCACCGATGTTCAGCAGTTCGAGTCGCCACACTACCTCCATGCACCACACAAAACAAGGGAAGAAAGTAAAAAGGAATGCAAAATAGAGACAGTAAACAGAGATATGAGACAAAAGGATAGTAATATCGAAGAACAATATAGTTTTATCGGAAATTATAAGTCACAAGGAGTGGATGCATCTGCGCCAGATACTGAGAAGAATTTTGAGCCATATCGCGAATTGTCCCCAGCCTTCATTGGTGTTTACCGTCCCGAGGACCCCAACTAGTCAAGAAGTCTACATCTCCCTACTTGGCTGGCTTAAACTAACTGTTGTGGATTTCATTGACTGATGAAGCCATGTTTTCGTTTGACCACCACTGGCTCTTTTCCAACCTGATCTATCCTATGTCAGCTAACATTGCCCGTCGGTCGAGCAAGGCGATCGATGTCTAGACATACGTATCACATGTCCTAACCATCTCAGTCTATGTAGCTTCACAGTCTTGTCGATTCATTTCCCCTCCTTACCTAGCACTCGGGTGATGCCTAACCTCAATATTGCTTACCCTGTTATACCACTTCACGCGGGAGATAGAACGCAGGCACCTATGATCAAAAACAGCTAGCCAGGCTTTTCATGTCCTCCAACTCTCAATTGCCATGTCTCACTCACAACCACAAAGGAGGATGGAGCGGACTGCTGAGTAGCACACATGCCCTTTGGTAGATAGCCAGACGGATATCACGTCTACAAGGCCAGAGACGGCGTAAACTGGTATATGCGAAACTAGCCTTCTGTATCCGTGCTGAGATTTTGTCAGCAATCAACCCGTCGGTGCTGATGCAACTTCCCAAATAAGTGAAGCGGTCAACGTGCTCTACCACCACTTCACTCCATATTTCTTAGTTATCGTCTAACTTGACTAGAGCGAGCTCACACCATACAACTAAACTGATCACTTGAAAATATTCTCCACACACTGAGACAGATGCAAAAGTCAGATGTTACTATGACAACCACCGCCGCCGCTGCAACAACTTTACTATTCACAATACATGGCATATATATGCCGTTTACACATCCACGGAAGTTTAAACCATCTATAAATAATCCATATCTGAATGTTTGTGTGACCTTGAAGTCGTGCAAAAATAAACGAACCAAAAACCGTCCAATCAGTTTAGAACGTCAATGCGTGCATCGACCACAACTTCACGGCTAACAACGATAGGTTGTCTCGTCCGAACAAATGCTAATGACAGATTGAAACATATAACAGTATTCTTCTGCAGATGAAATCAACTCATTTCTGGGAAACTTTACACACTAAATACAGTATTTTGCTGATGAAATTCGAATTATTTGAACTCAATTGCCTGAAACAGGTGTTTTATTCACCAGGCTAAGATCCACACTTATCACATGGGGGTTGATGATACAGCGTTGCCTAGTTGCTGGGATGGAGAGGGCCTCGAACTAGTCACCGAATGGATAAAAAACTTGACACTTGAGCCAATGAGCCACACCTTCATTCAAGTTATTCTTAATCAAAAGCGGTGAAAATACTAAATCAACGCAAATTACATACAATTCATGTTTGATTACTACTGAATACAGTTCGCTATTAAATGTGATATTCATTTTTATTTTATACAGGTAACCACAAAGATAAAATAGTAATTAGTAGATTTGTGAAAAACCTTTGCTACTTCAATCGATAACACGCGATAAAACGAAAATGGTGCTATGTACTCTAATTTGATCTAATAGATAATTTAAACAATTGAGATTATTTTTAACAGTTGATTTGTAAGGATTAGATTTGTTTATTCAAGTTTGACCATGGGTTGATTGATATCAGTTAGAGAACCATTGAAAACCACCACGGAGTACTGGACAGCTGTTTCATCCTAGTCTGGGAATCATCAGCAGTACACACCGTCTGGGATTCGAACTCAGGACCTCCTGGTCACAAGGCAAGCTCGTATACTATTTCAGCTAGTGACTTGTGACAGGACGGAGTCAGCTGCCTCGAGTTCTAGTGAGAGTTCATAACCAGTGAGGTCCATAAGGATTTAGCTAAGGTAAGAATGGTTGACCCAGAGAAGATAAGTAATTTAGAAAAAAAGCTCAGCGATTGCACTGCAAGCATTAACACACAATCATACAATAGGGTGGGAGACGGTTAAAATTCTAAGAAGTAATATAAGTAGGTGAAGAGTGAGAGAGGTTGATTACTGAATCCTTGTTCATCGAGTCTACACCCAACACATGCAATAGAAGTGACTCAACACAAATACCAAAGATATGCTTGGAAGACATTATTACCCCCAGTCAATCAAATCACAGGAGGATAATAAATAATCTTAAAATGTATTCAGTTCAATTCACATTATAACATTCTAACAAGTTATATTTGACTATAAAAACACTCGTCTTATTTCCCATCGGACTGTATTTGATTGATAACACTCATATTATTATATCTGAATGTACATTATCCTATACTGATTTTTATTCAAATGTCTAATCAATTTCACTCATGTGTATAAATGAAGTAAAAAGTTGTATGAGTGACTTGATATGATTATGAGCAGTAATAATTTGTGCTCGAAAAGTGGTCATCAGTTAATATTACTGTATAACACCATTGTGTGATTTATCAAAAGAAACTTATTTTTCCCCAGTGGTCTAACTTCATTCAGTGAATGAGGTTATACAATGTTCGATAGAACAAATCCTTGGCTTAAAATACTAATTCATAATTATGCAGACAGAAAAATAATGGCGCTATGCCTGTTTCCCAAGCAAAGAGGCCTGAACCGAGTGCTTCATTACCACCAGTTGACGCCAAACTACCCTGTCTGCAACAACAAGTTGTTCTCAATCGTGTCTCAGCTTCACCCGCTTTGATGGCGAGGTCACAAGTGCTTTAGACATTCCAGTAAATAAGAGGCCACGCACTCGACGTCAGTCAGCCAGGTGCAGTTCCAGATTGACCCCAAATAATACGACTTTTCTAAATGGGGAGGTGGTATGTAGACAGATAAACAATAGATTATCCATTATTGGTGATATGGCAATCAAGGTCAGTCCAGAAATAAACCAATCAGGATTGGCCTACGTAAAACAACACCCACTATTTTATTGATCATGATATTAGACTAATTGATTGGTAATTTTTTTGAATCATACATGAATGTGCAAAATATACGGTGGCTGATACCGGAAATACACTTTTCAGCTCCCGTCGTTGTGTGTTCTAGCTTAAGTAGAGCTGGCTGGGAGAAAATGGCGACCTTCACGTAATGTTGTCGGTGTAGTCAAGCGGTATTAGTGATTAGTGCGTCTGTGTCCAACTTAGCGTCCCTATTTCAATCTCAATGGTACTGAGATATATACAAAAGTGGAAACATAACACGTCATTGGCTATAAAAACTCAGTATTATAATAAGGTCAGAAATTGGGAGTCATGGGTTCCAGCTCGGTGATCCCTATGAGTGTGCACTGCTGAAGAGCCCCCAACTGGGAAGAAACAGCCTCTTCTCTGACTAATATCAGTTTGTAAGGCAATATGCACTGAAACTAATCACTACAAACCCGAAATTTGAAAGGAAAAAGTTTAGCGACATACCAATGAGTGGTCCACCAGTGGTTCAGCGGTAGAATGAATGCTCGCCTACCACGCCTAACGTGGTCCAGGGTTCGATACCTAGTCAGCACACACCCTAAACCTGGCCTAACCGGTTGTAAACCCGGTAAACAGGGGAGGTTAGATGGGCGTGAGGCTAGCAATCCCACCCCGTAGAAATAAAAACCACTGCTACTGAAAATTCAAGCCTTGATGCTCCATGCTCTACTGGGAACGCAAAGGAATAGAGGAAAAAGAATCAGTCAGGAAAAACTAATCATCTTCGTAAAAACCTTTTCTTAAAAGGGTAA